TTATTATTATTATTATTATTATTGTCCTTTATTGATAATTATGTGCTTTAATGTAGATCCTGACCTATGGAACTGTGAATAAAGCCCTAGGTAACTCCTTTTCTGGGACATACCCCACTGAGCCACAGACATAACTTCCCAAATGTGCATTCTCTCACTGGTCCTATGAATCCTAGTCACTGCTCCAGGCACTTTAACTTGAAAGGACACTTTCACTCCTGCTGTTTAGTTTAATCTGTAGTCTACCATAGATGCTAATCCTATCTCCAAAAGAAGCTTTCAGGCTGGGAAAACCAATGTCCATATGGTGTCCATCTCAGAAGTGCAATCAGATACACTACTCAGAAAAGTCAGAAGAGTTTCTCCTTCAGATTTTTCCACCACTCCCAGCAGCTCTGGATTAACTATGGTGAACTTCTTTCCTGGGCTCCATAACCCTCCCCATACTTGTACACTGCTTAAGTTCATGAAGTCCAGCAGGTGTTGCAGTGCCTAAAGCTGTACTCAGTAATAACCCAGTTGATTTCTGAATCTGACCTTCACAAATAGAAGAAGTATAAACTCCCATCTTTTGCTCATCAGTAATTTGATCATACTTTTTGGTAAATGCATGGTAGCTCTTGTTTTGTAAAAGATCCATTGGCATTCAAATTCAAATTTCTTCTTTCCTAAACCAATTTAATGGCTCCCAAGTACAACAACTTAACTGAGTCAAAACCTCAAACTGAGGTAGCTAAAAAAAAAAGAAAGCTGGAAATACAAACCAAATTTGACACTCATAAAACTTAACTTTTTTGTGATTCATTTTTACCATTTGTCCTCTCCAGGTTGATCTGAGCATCCCGGGGGGAGCAACATCACCCCACCAGCCCCCTCCCAGGCACCCCTCCGTGTCGCCACCGTGGGGCTTCACTCTGCCCTCCCTCCCAGTTCAAACCAGGGTTGAAACCTTGGGGTGGTGGGAGCTGGAGCAGGTGGATTGGGGGCTTTTTTTTTTTTTAGCCAAATTACCCCCAAATAAAACTGGGAGTGTGGGACCCC